AACTTCATCAGAAATAGTCACATATTACGAACTTTTATCAGGGTGGACTATAGTATTTATAGTATACAGGATGATTCAAATATGGGTAAATATTTTACCTGCAGATTCTATATTTTTTTGCTTAATAACTAGGGGACAAATATTAATATTTACTGAGATACAGGATGTTAAAGTAATAAAAATAATTTCAGTAAGATTTTTGCACGTATAAAAATAAGATTCCGTATGATTAGATTGTTCCATATGAAAAAATCTAATAAAATAGATGGCGCTACGCAAGCTATCTTAATTTAACAAAATAATATTTGACCCCCAGTTATTAGGCGAACACTTTATAAATATACAATTATTTTGACTATTCTACTATAATAGAGCACGACTGACACTTAATCAACTCACTTCATCTTTTTAATGGGGTAATTACTGGCTCCAAATAAATATATTAATTTTCTTTAGAATATTTTACACGAAACATAGAACCAGGTTTAATTGAAATGTCAGGACGATAAAATCTTGTTTTATGTGTAATTTTGCAGTTTGAACTATTCTTGTTTGTTTCAAAATTACAAAAAGTACCTACAAGATTCAGGATTATATTGTAAATATAATAAAACTTCATATTTATAATTTTAATAACAATTACCTCTGCAAATAATTAACAATGCAGCATAAACCTGACAAATATGGAGTGATTTAATTATGGTACAGTTCAGCTACAGTAAAGAGAGGTTAAAGTTTAAAGTAAAGTTGAAAGTAAAGTAAGATATTGTTTTTGTAACTTGTAAGGTTAATTTTTCAGATTTTTTTTGGCAGAAAAAATTTGATTTTTATTTTTTTTTATAAAAATTTCGAAAGTAAACTTTTTTCTGAGCAGGACTGCTGGTTGATGCTTGAATATTCAGAAAAAATCAGTCAAAATCCAGAAATAAATAGATTCGTTTTTAATGTATGCTTTAAAAAGAAGCTATACAGAAGTATTTATTTTTGTAATAAGTGTTTAAAATCAGTATGTGAAGTTGTACAAAAATATAAATACCATGTTTTATCTATGGATTGATAAAAAAATGTTTTTGAGTTAGATAAAAAGTAGATTTTTTTACTCCAAACAAAGCTGTGAAGTTACTCTGGAATAAAGTGTTATAGGCGACTAATTTAGAGCTAGTCCACAAAATAATACTGTATTTTCAGAGTTGTCAACAGGTATAGAAGGCTCGACTCTTTTGAAAACCGTACATGCAATGCAAAGTACATTTAATTTCTTAGTGGTTAAAGGATATAACACACATATTTTCAAAAATAATAAATTTTTTATCACTTTTCTTAAAGCAATAAAAAGAAAATATCAAGATCTATCTGTATTCAAAATTTCAACATTCTATCTTTGAAAACAAGAAAATTTAGCATAAAAATGTTAAAATTATCTGTCACATATTCTTTTGCAAGCCGTTAGGATTTTGTGGCATGGCACTCTTGATATCTACGGCGACGATATGTTAAATAATTAAATTGATTTTATTTTCAAAATTATGCTTTAATAATTTCAATGACCACTGTGTTATTCTTATGGGCATTAATGACAGTTGACAGTATGGTTCTTTTGTTGTCATCCAGTGCTATGACCTTCCTCAACTGTTGACGCTCACTAAACATGCGCATAGGTAATCATTTTTTTATTAGTTCTGATTGAGTGAGATTAATAATTCCTAGGTTAAAGTTTAATAGAACAAACCTTTGAGAAAATTTGACAAAACTTTAACAAACCCTTTTGGTTTGTAAAATTCTGTTCAGACAGACATAATGTTTATTTGACATAATAAAGTATGTATTTAATTACAATTTAAGTAGCAGTTTAATGAAAAATAAACATAAGTAGTCTACAAAGCCTAAATGGCTGTCGTGGCTTGCTCAAGTTTAGTTAGCGAACTGTTACACAAGAAACAACTACATAATAAAACTAACTAACTAATTAAAACTTAATTTAAATTGTAACGATCATAAAGTATTGTAGATTATTAATTGCTTATACGTATTGTAATTAAATTGCATAAATGAATGTCAATGAGAAATATAAACTTAATTTAATTTAGTACACTATATAAAATTATAATTTATTCTCAAAAATATAAATACATGTTAATAATAATATAATAAAATAGAATAAATTATTATTCTCGATAAGTGATTTAACACTTGTTTCGAGAATAATTTAGAAAAAATATAATACATGTAAGTGAACAAATACATACCTACTATATAATAATTAAAATTAAATTTCTTAATATATTTTTTCACATGATATGAATTAAAACACATTGCAATTAACATTTTCATATATGTAATTTTTGTTTATTTTTTAAATATAACAATAATAATACACAATAACTGGCATCACTAACAAACAAATTTAAAAATGATTTAAAAATAAGTAAATAAAATATGTTTTTATGTCAGTCTAATTACAGGATCTCGATTACATGGTGGATTAAGTCACGGTGTTGAACATAAAAAGTTAAAGTTTTTTTGAACTGTTTTAGGTAGAGAATTGATTTTAAATCGGGTGGTAGTGAATTGTAAATTTTTGGTCTTATATGTGAGTAGGCTCGTTATCCAACTGACTTATGCATATAGGGAATTAACTCGAAATTTTTACTTCGGGTATTGTAGGAGTGGATCAGCTGCATACATTTTTTGTTAGAATGATAATATATGTTTATCTTTAAGTAAAAAAGTTGTCGGATATCTAGAATTTTCGATTTGGTATACAGCAAAATTGTGGGATATGTGAAATCTTTAGTGAATATCAGTTTTAAGAACCTTTAGAGAGTTTTTAAAGCATTACCCCTTATTAAAAGGCCATACCTCAAGTGACTCTCCAACAAAGCAGAGTAAAGCAGTTTATGTTGATTAATATTAAGTATCTTTAAATTTGTAAAGAATAAATCTTAGTTTTTTACAAATGAACGTAATTTTTTCATCCCATTTTAGATGGCAATCTAGAATGATTCCTAAACATTTTATGTTTATTACTTGATTAATTCTAAAGTGACAGTTATTATTAATAAAATTTAAACTATTAAAAAAAGGTGCTGATGATTTATTACCAAAGAATGATAAGTAAAACGTTTTATCTACATTGATGGTCAGAAATTTTGAGTTAAGCCAATTTTGGGTTTTAGGAAAATCACTCTACATCAGGTCTTTAATATTTTGCCATGTCTCACTGCTATAAAAAACAGCTGTATCGTCTGCAAAGCCCAAAATCCTTCTCAAATACCTTCGACAGACTGGAAATAAGGGAAATGGGCCGATAGTTTGTAGCAATATTTTAATCACCTTTTTTGAAAACGGGAAAGACAATAGTTTCTTTTAGGAATGATGGCCATATTCCATAGATTTATTAATTACGTAAGCAAAAGGTTCTTCAATAAAAAGAGACATAATTTGTAGGATTTCAGATATAATTTGTACAATTGCCGGTGATTTTTTAGTTTTTAGATTATTAAATATATATTTTTATTTCATTTTTAATAGTTGGATATAATACAAAATTATTTGGAATAGAAATTCTTGGAGGCAGGTAATTGGGAGGTTGTATAATTTTATTAGCTAATTTTTCTTCATTTTCAGAAAAGGTTTTGTTAAACTAATTAGCAATAAGTTTAGGATCCGATACTAAGAGTCTTTGGTCATTGTCACTATATATGGATTTTATTTCGCTATTTGTCTTATTAACATCATTAGAAAGATTGTTAATTATTTTCCAGAGTTGTTGTGAATTATTTTTATTATTGTTAATCAAATTTTGATAATAATTAAATTTAGATTTTTTGAGTTTGTTACTTTATTTCTGTAATATTTATACTCATATTTTAAATTTTCGTTGTGACGATATTTTTTAATTTGCTTGTGTAAATTATTTTTTCTATTAATTGTTTTAACTAACTCGTTAGTCATCTAAGATGTCAGTTTAGATTTTTTCCTATATACTTTAATATTATTAATACTTTTATTTAAGTTTGAAGTTATAGTTTCAATGAATTTTTTTGATACAGATTCTGGGTCATTAGTTTCAAAGATATCATCCCAAGATTTTTAGTTTTTCATAGAGAATTTGTTGTTTGAAGTTGCCAATTTGTGTCTTCATTTTTTGAAGCAAAATTGTGAATAATCTGTAATGCTGTAGAAAAGTGGTCAGTAATTGTAGTTTTTATTATTAAAGGTAATATATTTTGAAACAATGTTTGTTGTTTTAGTTTAATGAAAATATGGTCAATACAAGATTTAGATTCTCCCTGGATCCTCGTTGTAATAAGTTATTTTCAGAAAAACTGACACATACATGCAATCAAAATATGTTATTGGTCATAGAGATAACTCTAAGCAGCAAATTAGGAGTACAAAGCCTTGCACCGAATGAGTCTTGTCAGTAGTGCCACATTTATTATGGCAGTCATCATGTTGGGGGTCAAAAATTTATACGATGCTGTGACTTTCACTCTTTGAGATCAGCCAATTCTTTAATATAATAATCTAAGTTAGAAAACCTTCAGTTATTTTAATACTTTGTAAAGATCTGGTTCAGAAAGAAGTATGAATAATATACAGGGTGATACAAAAGGAATGGGCGATAGTTTCCTAATAAATAGCTCATTGAAGTATTATTGTTGTGGCAATTACTTGTTCCCACATTTAACAATATTTTGTTTTATATATCTCGCATTTATAAGAATTAATTCAAAATTCGAAAATGAAATTCAAAATATAAACAAGAAAATTCCTACTTCTGTTCAGGTTTGCTTTTGTTGATGGAATAAAACAACTAAAACCAGTGATGGCCAGTCAAAAATCTACAAAACTAGTTTGGTATAATTCAAAATAAGCAAGCTGTATACATAATAATGTAAGGTAAGTATTTTATTTTATTTATTAAAATATATTATTTAATTTAACAAGATAATTTTTTTATATTTTTCAAAAATACAATTATTAAAAATATTTACCTGTAGTAATGTTGAGGTGATGAACCAAGCTGTTGAGTCCAGCGGCAAAGAATACAAAGCTGCTGTTACTGGACCACTTAGGCAGCATACAAAAAAATCAGCTACGATCAACCCCAGCAGCAAAGGACTTTTGGGCCCGGGGCCTACCCATACAGTAAACACTAGTGCCCCGTTTCCAACCACTCCGACCAAAAATAAAATCGCGTAAATAGCAACAAGAACATCCATTTCTGCAAAATAAATATAATCCCTCTGAGATGAAAAACAAAAACATAAAAATCGTTCTTAGATGAATAGGAACTCTATCACAACTTGTGGAAAGTTAAAGTATCACTATAGAAGCGTGAGTTGCGGAAGCAGATTGGCTGAACTTCCAACATCAACTGATGCCCGGCAGAGACTGAAACGAACTACGAACGTAATATCGGAGGCAGAGAGACTGCCACCCCCAGCATCTTTTCATCCCTGACAAATATTGGTTTCTCAGTAGCCTAGTGAGTTGGTCACGAAAATTTCTGGGGGAGATTTTAACCTGGTACCTGGATAATATACGTGTCCTCTATCTTTTTTCGTTTAACACAAACTTTGTTTTATCAACAATTTTAAACTAGAAGATATAATAAGTAATAATTTTGACTGTTTATACAGCTGGTGATTAATACAAAAGTTACCTATTGTCCTGCAAAGGATAATTACAGATAACTTTTTCCAAAAAACATTTAATTACATTTTTATAGGTTTTGTATTAATTTAATTCATTAACCCTTTAGCTAGGTGGTTTAGATGCATTTTTGCTGCACCCATTCGAAAGAACGAAAAAGTAAACCGTTGCGTTTTACTAAAGGGATATAATTTCATATCCATTCTAGAGTGTACGGATTAATTCATATTTGTGACCGAGCTACTATTATTTTTTAATATTTTAAATAAATGACAACTCTGTCAGTATATTGTTTAGTTATTGAGATTAAATATAATTAAAATTGAATGATTTTTGTGAAGAATCGATAAATAATAGCATTCCACAAGATATTCGTCTATATTTACAAATAAATCGTAAATTTTAATACAAAACATCGTCATTGAAAGGTTTAAATAAAAAATATATTTAAAAAATAGTGGATTAGAGAATATGTCGTACCAGAAGATGAGGTTCTAGACTTTGAAATCGGACGCAAAAAGAAATACATATCATTGTGAGATACAAAGGACTTTTCTACCTTTTCATTTAATATATAAATACCATCGAAAGCAATGTTGATATTTAGTATTTTGTAGTGTTTTTGTTGTGATACATGAAGTAGTGACTAGAGTGAAAATGGAATATAGTTTACAGTTTAGTCCTGTGAAACAGATCGCTAAATAAGAAAACTATTATAAAAAATATGTATGACTACTTATATAGAGAGCTTTCCATGTCGTTTTCCATTTATTTAAAAATTTCGTAGGATAAAAGGCGTAATTTTCTTTACATTTACTTTATTTTGAGTTTGCTAATAAAGTGTGACAGTTATATGAACCTACCATGATTCATTTCTTCACCACTCACTCCCAAAGGTAGTTTCTGTACACAATTGTAAGAAGTATTATATGGTTTCTTTATGTGCTTTGATATCGATCAGGAAGTCGGTAGACACAACTTACACAACTTATAGTTAAAAAAAGCAATTTTTTTAACTGAATGAAATTCTCATAATTTTTATCCATTCAAGGTTTTTTTGGTATATCAAACATGAGCCATTTACTAGACAAAGTATTATTATTTACCTACTGGGAATTACGAATCAAAGAACCGAGAAAATTTTTTTTAAAAAATATTATTTTCAAAAGTACAATGTTAATAATTTTAATACAACTCATTTTTATAACGGCAAAAACGGAAGCGAAATCCTTTGTGTTCTACAACCTGTAATAATGGCTTAGAAATATGATACTGTTAGATAAGATTCGCTTAGCTTGCATATTTCCACGAATTGTAGGAATGTAACTCATCCGTCATTAAAATCCAAATTAGAGGAGCTATTTTTACTTCTGGTTTGTAGTTGTCTTCTGGTATTTAGTTTTGCTGCACAAGTAATGATTACTATTATAGAAAATGTCGCTTGTAGTTGGAATATTATAATGGGTGTTTGTAGTTTCTTGTACTCCCTTCAATTAACTTGAAATCTTGTTTATTTTGAATAAATTTTGAAGTTGATATTGGTTATGTTGCAATTTGGTGGTGTGCCACCCTCCAGGAGGCGAAGCATGCAGTTGTCTCTCGGAACTGGGTTGTGGTAAAATACTGCAGTGTTGATCTCTTGAGAAGCCTTGCTGCCTGCTGGAAATTTTGAATTTCTTAGTGGGTTCTCCATGCATCTATCTGTTTTTGTCTCTAAAGTGAGATTTGTAAGTGTCGCAGTCCTCTTTGAGGTTTGTCTCTTGCCTTATTAAAGGATTTTCTAGACAACTTCCTGAGGTGACACCACTTTCCACCTCTCGCAGAGCCTCTTGGAGAAAGTGAGCAGATTTTAACTCCGATGGAGCTATGATAGTGATTAGGAATAAGAAGAAAATCAACAAAAGTAGAAAGATTTTTATTGATTTGGATATGACTCTTTTGCAGAGAGACAACATGAAAAAACTAAAGGATGAACTACAGATTAGGAAAGACAATGGAGAAAATGTTTCAATTAAATATGTTGATAATACTTCAAGGATTGTCATCAGCAATTTAAACTAAACAAGCCCAAAAGTTTACAGTTAACATGTATATACCAGAACGTTAGAGGTCTCAATACCAAGGTTGATGAATTTTACTCGTAAGTTCAACTTTAGTTTTAAATTTTATTCTAATTTTAATTAGCAATTCATTAAAGAAAGAATGAACTTATCGTATAAGAATTAAATAAAAGAACTGGCAAGAAAAGCCAAACATAAAAATCGTGAAATCTAAAACCGCCTTCCTGAAACATCTTGTGGCCTACGTATTTCATTGTTTCGTGAAAAGCAGACCATTTTCAACAGCGTGAAGTTATTTGCCGTAGGGATTGCTTGTACTCTGCTACAGGAATAAAGAAGTGTTGTTGGTTGGGAAAAATGAGAAAAATCGATTTAAGTAGGCTCTTTTGTTAAATTTTTAATGTCATTGTTAGGCAGCTGGCTATTTTTACTCGTAAATATGTCTATATGTCACGGTTACATCGAAAACCTATCAATTACAGGGTAGGAAAACTTACAGATTATAAAAATACAAATATGAACAAATGGTAACTATACAAAAAAAATAAAAGTAATAAAACATATTTATAAACAAGTATACAATATATATTAATAGTCGTTATACGTTTTATTGAAGCAATGCTGCAGGAAAAAATATCAAGTGATGAACCAATTTTATTATAGCAGTTGCATATTCTATACAAAGGTGAGTGATTTTGTATGTTAGTCCTCGCAGATGGTAAATAGAAAGAGGAATTTACCCTAGACGTAATTCTAGGTACAAAAAAAGTTAATCATACTTAAGAACTCGAAGCAGTCAATAGATGCACTTATGACTTTGTGAATAAAAATTAATCCTGCACAAAATGTTCTAAGGAGATTTATGTGGGGATATCCGATAACTGGATAGAGACCATCTTTAAAACTGAAATATTTCAAGAACCTACGCTGTACTCGTTCTAATTTAGGCAATTTACATCCAAATCGTTTACAATGTAATTTATAAATAGGTTAAAGAGTAGTGGACTCAACATAGAACCTTGGGGTACACCTGATGTAGCCACGTAACTTCTCTAAGTATGACTGTGGCATTCAACATACTGATATCGGTTTAGTAGATAGGTCTTAAAAAAGGTTATCAAATTTTGTGAAAATCCAAATAACGGCCCAAACTGACTTGAAATTCGGATTCAGCGGGTCAAAATACATGCCGGTAGGTAGGTCGTGTCTGATGTACAAACAACTTTTTTTTTGTGTGCAGATGTATTTATTTGATCTACAAAATTAAGAGCAGAAGTATTATTTTGATAGTTGTTGATTAAAGGTTGCGAAAATGAGTTACAAAAATATTGCAAAAAAGCGTTGACAATATTTTGTTCCATCATATCGAGGATTCAGAGCAAAAACTTGATAAGTAAAAAAATTTAGTGATGAGGATATTGGCGTTTAAAATTTTTTTTGTTCTTTGGCCGTCTCTTGTACTTACAAATTAAATGCTTTTATTAAATTGCCAGCATCAATTTATATTAAATACTATAACTTTTAAAGGATTGCTTCTAATTTTTTCTAAATTGACGTTCGCATTAGTTGTAGAGCTAAGAAGGATTCAGATCACAGAATTTGAATCACATAGGATCTAAATACCAAGTTTTCGCTTCTGTGACAGCATATTCTACACATTTTTAAATCGTCATCGTTACGCAGCAAACTATTTCCTTGTTTTACAAAGTAAGAATGAACAAAATAATTGAAGACCTTTTTACAAAAACGATTCATGTCCAAAATCATCATTTTTCAGGAAACACAAAAAACATTATGTAAGTCCTAATAGATCTTATGAAACACTCTATATTTGACCATAAATATCTCTTTTCCTGTAGTAGCTTTATAAGAAATCACCATTTGGGTCGGAAAATAAAGAATTGGTCACTAATTATTACAGTTAACTCAATTTGGGCATTTTTGGATGTGGTGTTTTTGAAAGAATCTTTTCAATTGTAATTTTACCTTTGGCAAATAAAACTGTCACTAGCTACCCTACCGATACTATTAAACGCAAAAACAAAATTGCATTTGCGAATGTATAATTGGAACTCAGGGAAGGAAACAACAATAAATTTTTATGATTTTAAGCGGAAGTTGAATTTGTGCATGAGTAGTATTGATCAGCAATAACGGGAAAGGTCTTTTACGTATTTTTAATTGAATTTTTGCTATAGGAAATTAATTTTTATTAGGTGATAAAATCATTTAAATAAGGTAGATGCCAAGCTACGGAATCTTAGATAATTTTAATTTTTAAACAAATGTGTCACTGCCCAAGATTTTCTGGAAAAACAATACATGACTTTCGCATAAGTAAAAACCAATTTAGGAGTATGAACAAAGTACAGAATTCGGCGATACCATTCATGTTATTGACTTTGGAATTGAACAAATAATTTTCTGGGTCCCTGTTATAGAAATATCTTTAACAGGAGAGATACAGTAAATCTTCCTGTAAGGGATATCTGAGGTAACAAACTTTC